AGTTTTAGGGTCAGGCAGGTACCTGTGAGGTTAGTTTTAGGGTCAGGTAGGTTCCTGTGAGGTTAATTTTAGAGTATATGGTCAGGGTTAGGATAAAAAGTCTAAAAATAATGAAAGTCAATGCACAGTCCCCATGGCGTTGAAGAACAAACATGTGCATGTGTGCGTGTGTGTTTGTTCCATTTTTGATGTTGTTTCAACAAGAAGATGTCATATCAGTAGATATTTTTTAATGATTTTTGCCATGTTTTCTCATCACCAGGTGGTTCATCATGACCCATGCAGAGGAGGTGCAGGCTACTGGAACAGCTTGTTCAGGTTTAAACATTTAGCCACAGGGTGCTATTTGGCTGCAGAGGTGGGTGAGGTGAGTGTTAATTATTTATTGTGTACAAGGCTATAATCACTTCATGTTACTGTAATTTATATTACTACATCAGATTTTGTTTAAAGGCTTGGGGTGTATTCACACCTGACACATTTGGTCCGCTTTAAACAGACCAGAGTTCATTTTCCCCTGTTGGTCCGGACCTTTTATGCAGGTGTGAATACACTCATGCAAACCCTGGTGTGGATCAAACAACCGGACCAAGAYCCATTTTTGAAGTGGTCTCTGTACACTTCCAAACAAACTCAGACCAGCTAGAATACAGACCGGCTTCAAACCGAACCAACATTTTGGACTTCACAAGCCACCATTGCTAAGTAACATGGTAACAATTAAACCTTCAGTGTTGCTGATGCTACAACTGCAATACAAACAATGGCTGTGTCTAAATGTCGCATTGGTATACAAGCTATCCCTATCATGGCATGTGCAAACCCTCCATTGGTTACAGAAAGACTAAGCAGGCAGTATGACCGCTCGGCAGCCGACCGGTCGACGCGCCGTCACGTGGTTGTTCAGCGTTGGTTTTCACACACACCTTTCATAACTCCTCAGACACCCTGCCCCGAGCTCCTGGGAAACTCCTCCCACTGCAGCATACGTCACTGCATGGGTTTTCTCTACTGGTGGAGTCCAATGCTGAAAAAAAAAGTCAGAGACTCGTCACCTGACATTATTTATCCACAAACTGGTCCTGGATTAAGCTCCAAAGTTTTCATCAGTCAGATTTCACCGTGAAAAACGTCTGTTTTATCCCCTTTTATGAGGTTTTGGCCGTTTGACTATCTTCATAAATCGCTGCTTCCTGGTAACAGTCAACTCTGGAATGAGTAGTTGAAGCAAACACAGCGTCAGAGCGCTTTCAGCACAAACACTCCTACAAACTTCTGATCAATCACACCATATACAGTAGTTCGTATGTGTCCTTATGTGGAGGGGGGTGAAAAGTTTGACCTGCGGGTTGCGACAAGAAGTGCCGAAATGTCGGCAATGCAAACAGAAGTGACGCAATTTTCGTCATGAAACTGCGACAGTCGGCATGATTTCAGCAGTTCGGCAGCAGCATGCTGGAGCCAAGGAGGTCCAAAAGGTCAATTCGTAGGTGCCTTTTCATGCGGCCGACAAAACCCCGAAAACATCCTATGTCGCTGATTATATCCCAGAATTCATTGCACCTTCAGCAAATTCAACAGAAAACAAAGACAGCTGATTTTTTTAAAATTATTATTATTTTATGGTGGAGTTTGTTTTGTTTTTATTTTTATGACAGAGTTTGGAAATTTATCATTGACCAAAGGATGTAAGTTTAACAACTCAGCTGAAGAAACTTTTGTTGCAGTGAGATGTTAAATAAAATGCAGTTACGGGTGCTGAAACTGGAGGTAAACCCAAATTATTAATGCTTTTTATTCATTTACTTGTAAGCTTTTCTATTAAAACTGAATTTTATGACGTTGTACCTAAAACAACTGAAGCATTGTGGTATAAAACATATGATGGCAACAAGACAGAGCGTGGTCACGCAAACATAYCTTTTTCCATCTACTAGACCATTTCATTCCACATCTCTTTATGCAGCCGACTCGAGCGGCCTACGGCCCACGTAGACTGTGGCCAACGTTGGTTGCAACCCATGAATTGAGACAATAATTGAGCTGTTGTGGGTCAGGGCTCGCGGAGTATCTTGTCTCCTCTGTGATGTGGTACGCATTAGCCAATGTCGTCTCAAAATTAGAAGTATATCAACACAAAACCTTCTTTTGAATGTGCTGCTCTTGAAATTCAAAATGATATTATAGCTTTATTATCAGTACCATCTCTATTTCCGGGTCTGTACTGTCCCGCCCCCATCATTTCTGTCCAACRGGAGCAATGACYGTCACCTGCGTGGCTTTGTTTATAAATTATAGCCCCTTGCAAAAAAGCACAATGTGATTTTTTTTCTTTTCCTTGGCTAAATATTGTTGCTGTTACACCTTTTTGGGTTGGAAATACTGGACGGCTCCATGATATTTTTATTGCATTGTTGTATTGTGTATTTTTGTATTGTACAGCACTTTGTGAAGTTATTTCTAAGAAAAGTGCTTTATAGATAAAATTTTACTTACTTACTTACTTAAACTGCACCACATGAAAACAAAACAAAACAAAACAAAAAGTCCACTTTTAATCCAGACCAAACAAGTGGACCAAAGGACTTTCATGGTGTGATTACACCCTTGGACTATATGGTAACAGTTTTGGTAGAGGTGTAGTAGAGGACAACAGTTTGTATTTGTTGATGCTGAGGATGAAGATTTTTGTCCTTTTTTAGGTGAATCCAGAATTTGAGGAGGAAAGTGCTGAACAACGTTGCTCAGTAAGTTAGCTCAACCTCCTATCCTATTTKCCATCTAATGCTGGGTTCTGTTTTACTTATGAGCCTTTTTGTTTTTTGCTATAGGAGGTGGACTTTACACCATTTAATTTCCAGGTACTGTAACATAATTTCCTGTTGGCCTCAAACACCTGGCTGCAATAAGAGTTACTGTCTTGAATTTGATAGTTTTCTTTCTTTTTTTTTTTTTTGTTCTGTATTGGTGTCATTGTCTGTTACGTGCTCTTTCCTTTCCGATCAGTTACTGACACAGCTATGGTTTCTGTTTTTCATCAGCATCAGATTTATTTGTTTTAGTTGCACCAAATTACCACTAGGTGCCACTGTGTCTTCATCTTAACTGATTTCATCATTTTGGTTGCATCCATCACATTGTGCTGGAGAGACACAAAAGTCTGATTCAGTTTTTTTTTCACTACTTCTTTTTGGAATGAGAAAATATTTTCAAAATCTTCAGTGGTGACTTACAGATCAAAGTGAAAACCTGCAAACTTCTTTACTTTATATAATATTAAAAACTGTTGTGTTTCCACAGATTCCTGTCTGCTCTTTTCACTGTATTTTTGTTCTCTTTTAGCTGGATGCAGACAATGAAGCTCTTCGAGGCCGTCTCCGTGCTCCACAGGAGAAGATCATGTACACTCTGGTTCCTGTTCCCGACGGGATGGATATCTCCTCTATCTTTGAGCTGGACCCCACCACTCTGAGAGGAGGTGATTCCATGGTGCCCAGGTATGACTTGTACACCTGTCCTTGTGCATTTACAGTGGGGTGTGAAAGTTTGGGCAGCCTTGTTAATTTTCCTGATTTACCTTTTATAAATCATTGATTGGATAAAAATAATCAGTTAAATATATCATATAGGGGACAAACACAGTGAAATTTGAGAAGTGAAATGGTTTATATGATTTACAGAAAGTGTGCAATAATTGTTTAAACAAAATTAGGCAGGTGCATAAATTTGGGCACCATAAAAAAAACCCTTAACTCAATATTTAGTAGCTCCTCCTTTCACAGAAATAACAGCCTCTAAACACTTCCTATAGCTTCTAATGAGAGTCTGGATTGTGGCTGAAGGTATTTTAGACCACTCTTCTTWACAAAACATCTCTAGTTCATTCAGGTTTGATGGTTTCTGAGCATGGACAGCTSTCTTTAAGTGACACCACAGAGTTTCAATAATATTCAGGTCTGGGGACTGAGATGGTCATTCCAGAACRTTGTACTTGTTTCTCTGCATGAAKGYCTTAGTAGATTTTGAGCAGTGTTTAGGGTGGTTGTTGGAAGATGCAGCCCCGGCGCATCTTCAGCTTTGTCACTGATTCCTGGACATTGGTCTCCAGAATCTGCTGATGGTAAATGGTAAATGGTACTGAACTTATAGAGCGCTTTTCAAGTCCCTCCAGACCCCCAAAGCGCTTTAACCTAACAGACATTCACCCATTCACACTCACAGTCACATTCACACACTGATGATGGCAAACTACACTGTAGCCACAGCTGCCCTGGGGCACACTGACAGAAGTGAGGCTGCCATGCAACGGCGCCACCGGACCCTCTGACCACCATCAGTAGGCAAGGTGGGTGAAGTGTCTTGCCCAAGGACACAACGACTGAGACGGCTGGACGGGGGATCGAACCAGCGACCTTCCGGTTCCAGAACGACTCCCCTAACCACTCTGCCACAGCCGCCCCTGATATTGGTTGGAATCCATGCGTCCCTCAACTTTAACAAGATTCCCAGTCCCTGTACTGGCCACACAGCCCCACAACATGATGGAACCACCCCCACATTTTACTGTAGGTAGCAGGTGTTTCTCTAGGAGTGCTGTATGTTTTCCTCCATGCATAACGACCCTTGTTCTGCCCAAATAACTATTTTAGTTTCATCAGTCCACAGCACCTTATTCCAAAATGGAGCTGGCTTGTCCAAATGTGCTTTAGCATACCTCAAGCAGCTGTTTGTGATGTGGGCGGAGAAAAGGCTTCCTCTGCATCACTCTCCCATACAGCATCTCCTTGTGTAAAGTGTGCTGAATAGTTGAACGATGCACAGTGACTCCATCAGCAGCAAGATGATGTTGTAGGTCTTTGGTGCTGATCTGTGGGTTGACTCTGACTGTTCTCAACATCCTTCACTTCTGTTTATTGGAGATTTGTCTTGGTCTGCCACTTCAATCCTTGACTTGAACTGTGCCTGTGGTCCTCCATTTTCTCACAATGTTTCTCACAGAGGAGACTGAAAGCTGAAATCTCTGATAGCTTTCTGTATCCTTCCCCTAAACCATGATGGTGAACAATCTTTGTCTTCAGCTCATTTGAAAGTTGTTTTCAGACTCCCATGCTGCGACTCTTCAGAGACGATGCCCCCCTTAAATACCCTTTCTCATAATTGGAGTCACCTGTGTATGGAGTTCAAGGGTCACTGAACTTATCAAACCAAATTTAAGTTCCAATAATTAGTTCTAAAGGTTTTGAAATCATTAAAATGACAACAGTGCCCAAATTTATGCACCTGCCTAATTTTGTTTAACCAATTATTGCACAGTTTCTGTAAATCATATAAACTTCATTTCACTTCTCAAATATCACTGTGTTTGTCCCCTATATGATATAGTTAACTGATTTTTTTATCCAAACAATCAATGATTTATAAAGGTAAATCAGGAAAATTAACAAGGGTCCCCAAACTTTCACACCCCACTGTACACTAACATCAACAATACACCGATGTTAAGCTCCAAAATAAAGGACCATGTTCACAAAACATTAATGCATATAATGTTCATTTTTGGTTACTGCGATATGTGAAGAAAACTATGAAGCGACTGAGGAAGGAGTTGAGACATATATTAGTTTGCAGATGATGTCACGGAGGATTTCAAAGATGTGCTCTTCCTTTAATAGACGAAAATAACATCAAGTATTTTGTAAATTCAGAGGGACTTTTTCACCAAATGACAAATACTTTAACACAACATCAACCTATCGAACGGACCACAATGATGTCAAGGCAACAGCATTTCAAAGCATGAGTGCAGTAGCCTTTTGACTCATGTGTTTGGCTGAGGGGAATTTCGAACACCAGCAGAAATCAGTTTCTGAATGTGTAGAGAAGGATCCGATTTGTTTTGTCACCTGCTGTTTTTGGTCTTTCTTACTTGCTTTGTTTAGTAATTGTAATTTATTTAAATTATTTGCTTCAGACGTTGGAAAAAGTTTGATAATTAATAGTGGCAAAGCATTTAGTTTATTTTTATTTTACAAAAAAATTGTTTTTATGCCCTAATGATCTTTGTGCCGTCGGATAATTACCAARAAAAGCTGAGGAAGTGGCCGTTGTGTGTGAAGCAGGAAATAAATCAATCCCTATTTTAACAGTTCTCTTTTGTGTTAACGTACCTTTTTATGCGCATCTTGAGTGTTATTGTATTTTAAATGCAAGTATGCTGTTGATGGAGCCCCGTCGAAGAAAAAAAAAAGTCATCATCGGGGACAAACAAAAAATATTTTTTCTGTTCTATGTATGGACAAAAACTCTAAATTTCAAAATACTGTTAAAGTTTTAATTATATTTTGATTATATTTATGGTCAAATAAAAACAAAAATTGAGTAAACATAATCTGACAGAATTTATTTATTTTCATCACTTTATTATTTTTTTTATGAAATTGAAGCCGTCATGTCTTCATTATCCACTGACGTGGTGCTGGCTACTACTCCTAGCACCTCCCTCTCTGACCTCCTTTAACCTCGTCTTTTAGACTTTAACCAGGGGATTAATTATTGCAAGTCGGAAACATTACACAAAGGTACGACTGTGGGCATCAGTAGGCAGTTACAAAATGCTTGCCAAGAATCTGGCTACTATCTGCTGTTATTGCCTAAAGCCAGAAGCACGATGCAGACGCTCGCAGTAGTCCCACAGACACGTGGAGTAGGCTGGAAGCTGTTAGCATGAAGTACATGGTCAGATCAACCTTCACTGTGTGTGACGGTTTATTCTTAATGCAGGGACGATGGAACGGTACAGGTCAAGGTGCAATAATACAACACAGAGGGCTGAAGTGGTCATAAACAGCCTGTTCTCTTCCCTCACCTGCATACTTTGTTCACTTGTAACTAGCAACACACAGACAGTGATATAAATGAGGTGTGCCATTACTACAGTGCATTGTGCAACAAATCTCGTCTTGCTGATTCACTCATTTTTCTGTTTACATTGGCATGATTACAAAAACGTGATTTTTAATAAGCTGTTTTTGGCTTCTTCACAGTCAGGTGCTGTTTATTATGCTAAGGATTGATGCAGTTAGCTCTCTGTCTTTGTGTGGCTTTTAAACCTTCTTGAATTTGTCTGATAATGTGTAGGTGTCCTAAAGCTTGATATAAAATAAATATCTTAAAATGATGGCTGACATGAAATGTGACAGGTGAATATAAAATATGKCTGTTAATGCCATTGATTTATGTCATTGGATTGGACGTCAAGGGACCTGGGCATGCTATGCAAGGGAGGTTTTTATGAATTGAGCTAATATTAACGCTAACCACTGAGATCAATGAGCAGAACACGGTGCAGTGCAAACAAACACGTAATAAATGCACAAATGGCACTAATGCTTTGCTATAAATTGCAGAAATTAATAGGAGTTTACAAGAGCAAGTAGGATTAAGACTCACAGGTATTATGCATGTTTAACCCAAATTAAGGATTTGAACTGTAAAATCAGTATGCTAACATTTAAAAACCTTCAATGTTCATTTAACCTTTTTTTAGAATAAAGTAAGTAATAGTTTATTTATTTTATGCCATACACAATAAAAKGTGCCCAGCCCTCATGAGATAAGACACACAAACATATTTAAAGATGCAGCAAAGAGAGCAACATCAACATCCTTCAAACATAAACTTTCTTTTGAAAGGGCCAAAACGTTTGAAACCTACTGAGCTAACTGAAACACATAGTAYTTAAATAAATACTGTACTTTTCTTYATCGCCCATATAAAATAAATCAGGGTCAACATCAAGGACTTTACCAAACAATTCATTTCTGAGAATTGTGTACAATGGACAATCAAACAAAMAGTGCATTTAATTTTCTATTTCATTCCAAATACACAAAGAACCTTTTCGGTCCTCCTCTGGGACTGAGTGAAATCGTCCAGTTTCTAATGCTAGAGGCAAAGTACCAGATCTAAGCTGTGCACACAATGACCTCTCTGGTTAAGTTCCATGTCACATGATGCTCTGGACCATAAAAATAAGTTGGTAATTTTGGTTTGTGTAAAATGTCACTAGTTGGACTTTCTCACTATACGGTTGTTGACAGTAACTCTATATTCCATAATCTAGTACTTGAAAGACGCAGGATCTGTACAGTTCAGTGTATGTTCTATAACCCAGGTATCGACAAAATTTTACTTTATTTATTTATGAACACCTAATGCTGAATCTGATTGGACTTTTCATTCTTTTTTCAAATGTTAGATGTYCATCCACAATATTTTCCAAATATTTAGATTTTTTTAGTAATAGACAGGATGATGGGCCCAAAGCTAAATGTAAATGATGCCACTGCATGACTCAGCTTTCTAAAATGAATAACTTCAGTTTTATTGCAATTTATCTTTAACCAAATTTTTTTACACCAACCATAAACAACACTTAACAGTTTCTGAAGAACAGGTTCATTCTCAGCAATAAGCACTGTCATCTGCATACAGTAGTATACAGACTTTTATATCACCTACTCTCACATCTGCCTCCTTAACAGCTGTTATCAAATCCTTTTTTATATAATCCAAAGAGAAGGAAACAGAGCATCTCCTTGTTTAACACTATGTGGTGTTTGTTGGTAACCAGCCTGTTCTGTATTCATTTAACTGAATGCAATAATCTGAATTTTGATATTCAACTTTTACAGAATTATAGAATTTCCCGTCAATCCCTGCTTTTAATAACTGAAAATGCAACAATTACTGATTAATTCAAAGAATTTTTGAAACTCTATAAAGCATGCAAAAGTAGACTTTCCTCCTTGTTTCCTGGCATTAACTATTGTAGTTAAAGGGGACTAAATGTGCAAAATTCACTTTTTCAGTTTTTTTTAACTTACATTTKGGTCTGTACTGCTTCTAAAAACAGTCCAAGCACCAAAAATGGAGGGGGTTTCCATAGCATCTTATCCATACAGCAGGTTTTGAAGAGAGCTAAAGAACAGGCAGAACTGAAAAGGTGAAATTTCATTATCTGAGATTCATTTTGTGAATTAAATCAAATGAACATGTTTTGTAAACCCACCGATGGATCCTAACTTGTTCTAGGACCTCCATATTAGGTCACCTTTAAAGAATATATGATAGCTCTTTTCTTTCAAAACCCATTATGTTCCTCTGCCAATTTAATACAAGATTCAAAATAATTAACCAACCTATCATGAAGAACACTGGAATAGTTTATAACAAAACTAAGGAGACTAATGACCTTTTTTATGATAGATTACCTATTAAATATATTATTTACTGATATTAAACCTACAAAATATGGACTTTTACTGGAGTACTGGCAAATTAAACTGCACAATATTTCATCATTAATGACAAAGACAGTAATGTAATGATCATAAACAATAAATGATTCTGCTCTTATCAAGTTTTCAGACAAGCCAGTCTATTCAACGGTTATGTTTTCTACACCTAATAATTGTTTTTTAAATCTAATTTCCAGACAATAGAAGGAAAAATTGTACCAGCTGTGGTTAAACACTTGTTGGCATCAGATAGAGTCTTCATCAATATTCAGCAGTCATTTTTCAGCTCTCACWTAAACATATGCAAAAACATTTGCGAAGCACAACACAATGTGGGTTAGTGTCAGACCAATATTTTGGATCCAAAATGGCCGACGTTAAAATAGCCAACATGGTCACCACCCATCTTGAAAAGTTYCCCCCCTCCCAAATACTAATGTGCAGGAACTTAATGTCACCAACCGTTCCCGTTTTATTTAGGTGTATCCATATAAATGGCCCACCCTGTWTATCAATTGTTAMATTACTGATTACATTAATTTCTGATGATACAATGTTTCATTGCTTTATGTTCTTCAGGTGTTAAAGACAAAATGAAATATTCCCATTTCAGCTCCACTTTGTACTTTAACTTACAACCTATTTTATTCCTCCCTCTCTCTTACCTCCAGGAGCTCCTATGTCAGGTTAAGACACTTATGCACAAACACATGGGTTCATAGTACCAACCTCCCYATTGACAAAGAGGAGGAGAAGCCTGTCATGTTACGGGTGAGCAGCTGAATGAAGCAGTCAGTCAAAAAGAGAGGACAGCATCTTCTACATCCTCATAAGTTGGTGTTTTGTTTTCCAGATTGGAACATCAGCAGTAAAAGAAGATAARGAAGCATTTGCCATAGTTCCAGTGCCACCATCAGAAGTGCGTGATTTAGATTTTGCCAATGATGCAAGTAAAGTGTTGGCTTCCATTGCTGGCAAACTAGAAAAGGGAACCATTACACAAAATGAAAGAAGGTACGCTTGGAAATGATCACGAAATTGTCTACACTTTTAGATTTTCTGCATAAAACTGTATCAAATCTTACAACATATTGACCATGTTTGTAAATTTTCTTTTTTATAAATGTGGAAAAAACGTTGCACTGAAATAATTTTCCAACAACTTGTTGTGTAAAGTGTATATGAGACAGTTTATCTTTTTTCCCTGATATGTTCACATTCAAGATTTGTGACCAAGCTSCTGGAGGATTTGGTTTTCTTTGTGGTAGACATTCCCAACAGTGGACAGGATGTTTTAGAGATCATGGTTAACAAACCCAACCGAGAGAGACAAAAGCTCATGAGAGAGCAGAATATTCTTAAACAGGTAGGCCGTACATTTTAGAGACAGTTTGAGGTTTGACCTTTTAAAATGTTCATTTAGAACACCTTTTAAATAACTTTTTTTGTCTTTACAGATTTTCAAACTACTCCAAGCCCCTTTCACAGACAGTGGGGACGGTCCCATGCTGCGTCTGGAAGAACTCGGGGATCAGCGCCATGCGCCATTCAGACATATTTGCAGGCTTTGCTACAGAGTCCTTCGCCATTCCCAGCAAGATTACAGGAAGAACCAAGTGGGCTGCACACTAAAGCGCTACCCTGGACTTTTGATATTTCATCCTTATCTTTAGCTGTAATGTTTTTCTTTACTTTGAATCCTTTCACAGGAATATATAGCCAAACAGTTTCGCTTCATGCAGAAGCAAATTGGGTATGATGTGCTGGCAGAAGATACGATAACAGCTCTTCTCCACAACAACAGGAAGTTACTGGAAAAACACATCACTGCTGCTGAAATAGACACCTTTGTCACTCTAGTGAGGAAGAATCGGGAGCCAAGGTAGGCAAAGGGATAACAAATGTAAATCTTTATGAATATATTAAAACTCATGAAGACACAGGGAAACTGCTTGTGTGTGTTTTTCGTGTTCAGGATAAGTTGATTAGAACTACTCTGTACATCTGCTGTAGTTTGCCTTGTGAAATTTTGTTGGTAAAATGTAAAACTTTCGGGTCCATGTTTAAAAGTGTTTTTTACAGTTTGAAATACACAAAGCACACCTTAGTCTTTCAGAATTCTTTTTGTAACACGTAATATTTCCTGATTATATATTACATACAGTGGTGGGTGCTAGTCCCCTAAAGAGCAAATTGTGGAACTAATTTTCTTGTTTGTGCTTTTACAAATTTTTTAAAATCTATTTGTGGATTTGCACTTTCTAAAAATTATGAATGTGATAGCGCTAATTTAATTATTTCAACTTATATTGCTCGTCATTATTTTTAACAGTGGAGGGAGAAAGCTGTCTCAAGTCAATACAATGCAAAAATATTGTATTTAAACAGCARTCCCTCAGACGTCTGTTCACAGAAGCTATATACTTTAGCTGTCCTTCTGTCCCACAATTTTAATTTGAGAGACAATTCCCACAATTCTTTGCGTTTACATGACAGGAAGCAATTGGAGCTACGTCACTGGGCGACACTCCCACTCCCAGCCATTCTCCACTGGCATGCCTGTTGCGGTTCTGCTGGGTTCGGGTTCGGCCGAATGTGTCTCCATGTTCCATCTGCGCACTTTGTACTGATGGTTCTGGGTAGAAGCAAGTACAGAATACAGCACGCTTATGATTTTGACGTCAGCAGAATGCTACCTGTGGATTAGTTCTTGAATTGATAGACAGAGGAAAGACGTTACTTGCGCTTCCTCCTGGAAAGAACCTTTTTGGCGGTCTTGGGAAATCAGAACTCGCAAACACAGAATGCATTGCTTCAGTTCTCCAATAAACAGTTTAAAATTACTAATATATCCTGCATGCTTTTTTACCGAAGCCCTACCATAAACATAAAATAGGACCAAGAAGCAGCAGAACTAGCAATTCTCAACAACTGTTTATTTATCACCATGAGCCAAAAGTCTGTTTCAACAAATCACCTCCCCAAACTGCGGTGATAAGTGCAAYGCTGTAAAAGTCAAGTACTTGTAGTCAGCAGTGTCCTGCAAGAGTGGCTCATGTTACACTGAAAATAAATAATTAACAAAGAAGCATAAATACCTAAATATAAATGACATCTTGAAACATTCATGTCAGTTTTTTGCCTTTGAAATAAAACAAACAAAAAAAAAACAGTCATCATTTAAATAATTATACGACTAAATAATATTATCAGATTCATTTTTATTTTGGACCTAAATAGAAATAATAAAATAAAAAATATATATTTTTAGTGTGAATAAAAGTCTTTCTGAAATATTTGTGAAAACACTGTCCTGCCTTGTTTCTCCCAGCAATAACAGTAATAATCTCTCCTTACCTGAGAAAAGCTGGCATCATTATGGTCCCTGCTGCTGGATCTGTCGCCTCCCTGACTTTGCTCTTTGTATTGTGTCAATCAAGATTTACTTAAATACTGTATGTGGAAAGCAAGCCAGCAGAACTTCTGCACAGAAACTGAACACTATTGGTAGCTAACTTGTTAACTAGCTCAACATATTTTAGCATGTATTAACTCAGTCATTTAGCTATCATTATCTGCTTCCAACAACATTATTCAACTTGAATGGTTGGATAAAATACTTTTTTTTCTTTCATAATCTGTGCCTAGATTTCTGGACTACCTGTCAGACCTCTGTGTCTCCATGAATAAATCCATCCCAGTGACACAGGAGCTTATCTGCAATGCAGTGCTGGACTCTAGCAATGCTGACATCCTCATCGAAACTAAGTGAGCTATTTACTTTAGTACGTTAGCAAGCTTGACTTACCGGAATGACTAAGCGCTAAGAAATCKTTTGTATGTGCTGTTTGCCAGATTGGTCTTGTCAAGGTTTGAGATTGAGGGGCCAGCGAATGGCGAGAGCCCTGTAGAGGCAGAAGATGAAGAGGAGGTTTGGTTGTTCTGGAAAGACAATTGTAAGGAGATCCGCAGTAAGAGCATTCGTGAGTTGGCCCAGGATGCAAAGGAGGGTCAGAAGGAGGACCAAGAAGTGGTCAGCTATTACAGGTAAACTGTCCTTTTATACTAATAAAACATGGTCATTTTGTTACATACCTGACCATTGTTCTTTATTTGTACCTAGTCAGATTTGTTTAAACAGTACGACTAAGAAAGCATTTTAAAATCTATTCTGATAGCTAGAAATGACAAATATTTCAACGTTTTTGTATTTTCTTCAAGGTGCCAACTGAATCTCTTTGCGCGGATGTGTTTGGATCGGCAGTACCTGGCCATCAACAAGATTTCTGGTCAGCTGGACGTGGATTTGATCCTGCGCTGYATGTCTGACGAAGACCTGCCTTATGACTTGCGGGCATCTTTCTGCCGTCTGATGTTGCACATGCACGTGGACCGTGATCCTCAGGAGCAGGTCACGCCTGTCAAATACGCCCGCCTGTGGTCTGAGATTCCATCAAAAATCGCCATTGATGAGTGAGTATATCTCGCATATACTTTTAGGTGACTTGTATTTATCGTTTCAAGGATGCCTCTTCACCTGTCTACTCTGCAGCTACGACAATGATGGAACCACTCGAGATGAGATCAAGGAGCGGTTCAGCCTCACCATGGATTTTGTGGAAACCTACCTGAGGGAGGTGGTGTCTCAGAATATTCCTTTCTCTGACAAAGAGAAGAACAAACTTACCTTTGAGGTAAAATACTCTGTGTGCCTCTTGTGGACAGACAAAACAAAGAATAAGAAATTATAATTATATTATTTTCTTGTTTGTAGGTAGTGAACCTGGCAAGAAACCTCATATACTTTGGTTTCTACAACTTCAGTGACTTGCTGCGCTTGACAAAAATCTTACTGAACATTTTGGACTGTGTTCATGTCAGCACTGTTTACCCCATAAACAAAATTGAGAAGGGTGACGAAAACAAAGGTAAAATACATGTTTTATTTGGCTTGGCTGAGTTATTCTGAATAATTTTTTGTCAGGATGGATTTGAATCGTTATTATTCCTTCTCTCTGTCTCTTGTGTGTTGGTGTTTGTTGGATGTACTGAAGCTGGCAGTAATGTAATGAAGTCCATTCATGGAGTGGGAGAGCTGATGACACAGGTAGTCCTACGTGGAGGTGGTTTGCTTCCCGCCACACCAACTCATCAGCCTGAAGGAGACGTGGTGAAAACACAGACAGAACCAGAGAGGGAGGACATCATGGTCATGGACACAAAGCTCAAAATCATTGAGATTCTGCAGGTGGGTCGTAAATTAAAGTGTTACTTCTGACCTCTTWGTCCATATATTTACTCTTTTTTCCCCCTCTGCAGTTTATTCTGAATGTACGGCTGGACTACAGGATTTCTTGCCTGCTTTGTATTTTCAAACGGGAGTTTGATGAGAACAACCCACAAGGAGACAACCCTGTCAGTCAGAATGGAACCAACAACATTACAGCTCAGATGCCAGGTATGAGAAAATGCAGTTTAACATCTGAGATGAAAGCTTTTGGATCTACATTGCAGGCAAATGCAACCGAAATCGTTTTTTTTTTTTTTTTTTTTTGTGCCCCATTCAACCTATATTAAAAAGTTTTTAATGACAGTCTGAACGGGACAAATCCATGTTTTGTTTTGTTTTTTTTTCAAATCCATCTCAGGCCTTTTCAGTATCTGGTACTGAATTGGATACATATCTGATGTTTTCAAAGCGACTGTGAACGCTCGTGTTGCATTAAATTAGATTTTACATCAGTGAGGTGCAGGTGAAGTATGGATAAAGATGCTAACCTCGAATCTTGCTGTTTAAATCTGTAGCTCCACACGTCTTCAGCTACAGTACAGATGTCCAGTTTATTCTGCTTTGTTCTTTTAATTTTCGATGTCCTGGATGACAAAGAATTCACAGAAACACGATAGGAATGACCAGCATCAGTCGAGGACCATATCGATCCTAAAGTTACTCGGTCGATAATTTACTTCCAGCATGTCGCTTTGGCTACGTTCACACTGCAGGTCTTAATGTTCAATTCTGATATTTTTGAAAAAAAATCAGATCTTTTGGTGTGAACGTTCACATCACATTTAAAATGCGACCTGCATCAGACTCCAGTGTGAACTCTACACAGCTCTGATGTGACACGCATGCGCAGTAAAAGACGTGACGTCTCATTCAGCCGACTTGTTTGTTTACTGAGCTAGCATGGATGCTACTTTTAGCACGTCGAATCTGAAGTTGTTTAATCAGAGCCTATTAAATAATTATCTGACATACTTGTTTAGTTCAGTGTTTATATCTGAACCTGCCTCTGACTGGATGCTCCAGTGAAGCTTTTTTATTTTTGGAACGAAGCAACGAGCTGGAAATAAAGTACCAACCGAGTATTTTTAGGATCGATACGGTCCGCGACTGAAGCTGGACGTTACTATCTAAAGTACATGGAAAATTAAAAGAAAAAACAAAGCAACTGGACTTCTGTTTTGGACATGGAGCTACAGATTTAAACAGCGTGAATCAAGGTTAGTGTCTTATCGATCYKTCAGCCCCACCTCCCTGGTGAAAACAGTCAGATGGTCAGTCAGACTGCAGTCACTTTAAAAAACATCAGATATGTATCTGATTCAGTACCACATACTGAAACTGCCTGGGTTTGATCTGAAAAAATCTAATTTGTTGCGTTCAGACTATCATAAAAAAATCAGATATRTTGCATTTACCTGCAGTGTGAATGTAGCCGTTGTTCCAAAACTAAAATGCTGCATCAGAACATCCGGTCAGAGGCAGGTTCAGATGTAAACGCTAAACTAAACGTCATTGCCGTGTAGAGTTCACACTGGAGTCAGATGAAGGTTGTATATAATGTGGACGTTCTCGTCACAAAATCTGGTTTACAAAAAAATTGGAATTGAGCATTAAGACCTGCGGTGTGAACGAAGCCTAATACTCTGTTCCATCAATCAATAAAAATGCRATGTTTGATACGTTTTCATTGTGTTGCTTTATCTCTAGGTAATTTTGACTTTGAGAACATTGAGGAACAGGCAGAGGGCATCTTTGGTGGAAGGTAACTCATGGATTTCTAGTGTTTTCAAAACTTTGTAAAAGCCCAACAATATCCTAAAGCAGTGGATCCCAACCTATTTTCCTCAAAGCCCCCCTTTCCAAACCTTCAAGCCATGCTGAGACCCCCCACTTCTCTCAAACATCAATCAACCTTTATCTATTTATCAAAAAAATATTGGTAAAAAGTAAATAGCTACAAACTTTTATTTGGAAGAAGAAAAAAAACAGAGTTATACAGAGTTCAAATTTTTCAAAAGGTCTTGTTTAGATGATTTTTATATACAGACAAATCTGTATTTTCATAACCTCTCAGCAGACAAGGTTAAGCCCCCCTCCCCCCCGTGCTCTCCGGCTCCCCCCAGTAGGGCTGGGAGAATATCACAATTTTTTTTTAACTTACAAAGTGACTGAAAAATAATTTAACAAATAAATAGCTACAGAAATAAAAAAAAATAATGGCTGTTATTTCACTTTCACTAATATAACAAATAGCTGTGGTTCAGTAGAACATTAAAGAATTTTTGCAAAGTATTTAAAAAGGTATTTACGAAAAAAACATTTATGTGTAAATCATAGAATCTCACATTAATAATGTTATCCTTTTGTAAAAATGAAAGTTTTATCATTGAATTTCTCATTAAATATTTCATAAAGAAACATAAACTCTACAAAACGGTAACAATTTGTGCACACTTGCCTACTGAACCGGATCTAAGCTCATTATTTCATGGAAGGAACCCCCCCACCCCCATGACCTCCTCCTGTTTACAGAGCTTTATCAAACAACAGACAACGCTGTTTCACTTTTTCTGAAAGATCTGATTCTGCACACAACAACATGTTGAATAAACGCCCAGCTTCTGAGTGTTCAGGAGTTTTCAGCGTCTCTCAGCTGCTGTTTGTGATGCGACGCAGACAGGAAGTGCTCTCCACGTCCCGCCCAGCTCATCGTGTGCCGATAAACGTACAGAAAAGTTCTTCTCCAGATAAATGAAGAACCACTGGGACATTGTGGCTCACTTCTCTCTCTCTCTCTCTCTCTCTCTCTCTCTCGCTCTCTCGCTCTCTCTCTCGCTCTCTCTCGAGGAGCTCAGAACTCACCCTTCGTGCCTGTTAGCAGGTAACAATAGGTACAGGAAGCGACAGCGGTCAAAATACCTCAGAAACTCACCCAAACGAACTCTGTGAGATTCAGCCATTTTATACTGGATTACTTTGGTTAAGTCTGCGATTCTGACTGCGTTTCCTGAGCAACTTATAAACAGAAGTGGAGCAGGAGAAGGTGGATTCTGATTGGCTGTTGYGGCGCACATTTCTGCCATGTTTGAYCGAGTAAGACGCTCATAGCTGATCACCGTGATCGACCTGAATTTTTTCTTTATCAGTAATCGTGATCAGATAATCACCCAGTCCTACCCCCCAGGTTGGGAACCACTGACTTAAAGAATGTTGCCACTGTAAGAAATTGAGCTTCCATTGTTAGATTTATTTAGTGTTGTTGTTTTTTCAACAAAAGTGAGGAAAACACTTCATTAGATCTGGATGACCATGGTGGTCGCACGTTCCTAAGGGTCCTCCTGCACCTGACTATGCACGACTATCCACCCCTTGTGTCTGGAGCACTTCACCTGCTCTTCAGACACTTCAGCCAGAGGCAGGAAGTCCTCATGGCTTTCAAACAAGTAAACTTTACCACACCTACATTACTCTCATAGTTTTAGATTTTACCCCAGCACCATGGGCTGGATTTCCACGGTACGGTGACTAAACTCCTCTGTCCTTTTTAAAACACTTTAGGTCCAGCTGTTGGTCACCAGTCAGGATGTTGAAAACTACAAGCAGATCAAGTCAGACCTGGATCAGCTACGCTCCATAGTGGAGAAGTCTGAACTGTGGGTTTACAAAAGGCAGGGAGAGGATGTGATGGATGGAGATGGACCTTCAGAGTCTGACAGCAAAAAGAAAGTGCGCTCAATAAGTGTTGCATTGTATCAAACATCTGCATTATAAAGAAACTTATTGCAGCGTGTTTATTGTTTTAAAGGGAGACTCTCTTGGTTCTGACAAGAAGACAGAAAGCACCAGCAGTTACAATTACAGAGTTGTAAAAGAGGTATACATGTGTGTATTTTATTGTTTTATTTATTTATTKTTTTATTATTATTTTCTAAATCCTACACTTGTCGCCTGTTTTAGATCCTTGTACGCCTCAGTAAGCTGTGCGTCCAGGAGGGAAGTTCAGGAAAGAAGAGCAGGAAACAGCAGCAGAGACTTCTGAGGAACATGGGGGCGCACAGTGTGGTGCTGGAACTTCTTCAAATCCCCTATGAGAAGGTAGACTCACTTAAGAACTGAATCCAAAGATCAGCCTCATTTTGAACCATTTTGATCTAAACAATGAAATCTGCTTTCTTTGCACCAGAGTGAGGACGTTCGAATGCAGGACATCATGAAGTTGGCTCATGAATTTCTGCAGAACTTCTGTGCAGGGAACCAGCAGAATCAGACTCTTCTCCATAAACACATCAACTTATTCCTTAACCCAGGAGTGAGCGCTGCATTTGTCTAAAAAAAAAMMAAWAAAAAAAACATTTTCCCCATTGACGCCGTCTGTCCTGGAAACCATGTTGTCCCTCCTTTCTGTTCTTCACAGATCCTGGAGGCGGTCACAATGCAGCACATCTTCATGAACAATTTCCAGCTGTGCAGCGAGATCAACGAGCGTGTCGTTCAGCACTTTGTCCACTGCACTGAGACGCATGGTCGGCATGTCCAGTATCTCAAATTTCTGCAGACCATTGTTAAAGCGGAGAACAAGTTCATCAAGAAGTGCCAGGACATTGTCATGGCAGAGGTGTGTTAGGTGCAGACTAATGTGTCATCAGAGCAACACCTAAAGTCAATGGGCCTCACGCAAGAACCGTTTGTACAAACAGATTTGTTCTTAAGTTGTGCGTACGAGTGATTTAGGGGAATTTGTGGCATTCACCAATTTTCTCGTATTCTAAGATTTTCTTCAGATACGAACAAAATTCGTAAAGTTCTTCTTTTTACTTTTCGCTGTCATTTTCATGAATGGACACTTCCTGATATCTGAGGCAGGAAACATAGTCTT